TAAAAGTATTTGACAGTACACCTTATTCATTAATGGGGATCATGTTGAGAGCGAGACGGCCACATGACTTGTTTTTGTCCCCCAAATACAGTTGCATTCTCTACCTCCTTTGCCACCACTGTTCTAAAAACCATGGTCAGAGGGAACAGTAGATGCAATGAATATTAGAGAATGAAAGACTGTTCAGAAGAAAAAACAAGTCTCATTGCTCTCTCATTCTCAATGAGATCTTGGCAGCCTTTTAAAAGATCAAATTTCACGAAAGATGATGGGACATACCGGTCTATAAGGACTGCGGGACTCACCAGTACGCTTCTACAAAATTCTCCCAGAAATTTGCCAAATATTTTTTTCTCGTAAAATTTATTGAAAATTGGGAGTATACAGTTTTGATCTCAACCAATCCATAAAATGAATATTTTGTAGGAAAACATATTAGAAAACCAAATAAATTAAATCTTTCACATTTTTTAGCTCTGCTGACGACAAAGTCGAGCGGAGCTTATACATAGTATTACTGATTGTCCGTCGGCGTCCATCGTCGCCAACTTTCAACTACATTTTCGACTTCTTCTTAAAAATCACAAAGGAAGTTGGGTGGTTCTCTCTCAGATTTGTTCATTTCATGTGGATATGTTCAATTGTCTTGTTTATAGCGAATATTTTTGTAATTTTTAGTCAAAAATGCTATTTTGGACTTCTTCTTTAAAACCGCTAGCCCAAATGCGTTGATACTTGGTATGTAGGTACCTTGGGTGGACCTCTCTCAGATTTGTTCTCAAGTTCTGATGAATATTTTTGTCATTTTTTGTAAAAAGTGATATTTTCGACTTGTTAAAAACCACAAGTCCGATTGCTTAGATATTACAAATATAAATACTACATGTGGACCTCTCTCAGATTTGTTCATTTCGTGATGATATGTTTGATTCTCTATTTTTGATGAATATTTTTGTCATTTTTAGTAAAAAGTAATATTTTCGACTTCTTGTTAAAAACCGCAGGTCCAATTGCTTTGATATTATATATACTACATAGGTACTACAGGTAGACCTCTTTCAGATTTTTTCATTTCGTGATGATTTTGTTCTTCAATTATCTAATTTTAATTAATATTTTTGATAAAAAGTTATAAAAAGTCTGATTGCTTTAATACTACACATATTGTTCATTTTCTGATGATATCTTCAGTTCTTTAATTGAAATGTGCATTGCTAACAGCGGAGCTATCTCAGCCGATAGGCTGCTTGTCTAAAATCAAAGTGTTTGTTTGTGTCTACCTTACTGCGAACAGATGTACTATTATTAAACATCTGTCACCATAACGCCATAAATTACAGCATGTCATAATTTTGCAGTCTTTTATGGGGTATTTTCATCCTACCTTATCAGTATAAAGCGTCCTCTAATAATAAAAACAAATATGGCTGCCACCAGGGTTTGACCGGACTACACACGCAGATTCTATTTTAAATTTTTGGGATTTCTGCATTGCCATTATGTATTGTTGGGAGGTATAGATGCATAATAATATTTTTTTTTTTTTTTTTTTTATTAGACGCATAAAATCCTTAGGAAAGGATAAAAAGGGTCTTACAGAAAGAAATTAAAACAAACTACAATCTAAAAAAGAAAACAGAAAATAAAAACTTTTCTAAAAAAAATAAAACAAATCAAAAACAATAAAGACAATTTGCAGCCAATGGTGAATACAGAATATAGAATGAACACAAAATGTAGCCTAATACACCGATAGTTGTTGCTGTTTTGTTCCATAGCTGTTTTTTAGAAAGACTGCTAAGGCTGGTGCTAGAGTATGGTTTGCCATAATCAAAATGAATTTATTCTGACTATTTTCTTTATCAAAATTTGGAACTTTATTTTGTGCAGTCAGGAATAATTTGTTTCTATGGTGACTGTAAACTGGACATTTCATTACAAAATGTTGCTCATCCTCAATTATATTTTGGCTGCACATATCACATGTTCTTTTATCCAGCGGCACATTATTATGTCTGCCTTTCTCCATTTTAAGGTCATGGTTG